GCCGCAGCCGCAGTTGGCGGAGAAGAGAGAGGCGAAGAGGAGTAGGGGTTGGATCTGGCCTGAGGATGCTGTGGGAAGGAAGGAGTTGGGGAAGAGGGGTGTGAGGTATGGTGCTTGCTAAGTTGAACTTGCGGCACGGTTGAGTGTGACGGAATGAAAAAGGGGCCTGGTACAAGGGGCGGTATTGATCTGGCATCATCAACATCATCTCGACTTGTGTGAAGTTGAAGAACGGGTTTCTTCACTCCACTCAGTCGAACGTGATATCCCCTTTGCTCCTTTTCTTCCCGCTAATGGAGGAAAAGAAGAGAGAAACGGTACATGAGATAGAAGTCTGGCACTTCACTCCCTTTTTTCATCAACATTTTCATATCTTTCTTCAACCTGGTTGTTGGCGAAGAGATTTTGCATTTGGCTTTTGGCTTCTTTTTCAACGGAGTTTAAGACGGGCAACAGCATGGGTTTAAAATGGGTGGTCTTAGCATTTGCATTTTCATGTAGCATACCAATTTTCCTTTGTCATCAAGAACAAGAATGGAAGAAAGAAAGAAAGAAAGAAGGGCGCCGAAAATCCCGAATTAGGGAAATGACTGGTTCATCATGATGCCCGGGAGTAAGGAGGAAAATTTGCATATACCATACCACATACATCAAATACCATAACACACCGAGACAATAGGTATACAATCGTTATGTGTGATGCCCCCAATCCAGTTGAACACATTACCGCGACTCTTGTACTAGTCTGAATATCCGAACAACACATGTATCCATCAATAACAGGATGCTGGACACATCGCCTCCAACCACACCGCCGACAGCTACTGTAGCCCATATATCTCAGTAGCCTTGGAACCTACCAATTCACTGAAATGGTGAAGCAAGACTTATGTGTTGTTGTTTAACAGAGCCGACCTCTGACTCGTGTAGATTACCGTCTTCTTCGTCTGTTGTTTCCTGTTTCGATGTGGATTTCTCGAGTCCGGCACTGAATAACCATGTAATGGTCTTGAACTAACGTCGATGCCTAATTCCAGTGGGGTGTACCTTGGCCGTTTATTGTCGAGTTCGGGTTCATCCACTTGGTTTTTGATCGTATAATTTTGTAATTTTGTAAACGTCTTTGCTCGTCTCGCAATAAATAGCTGTCTCCCCCCTTTTTTATTATTTTTTTTCTTTTAACTTCTTGAGCCCTCCTCCATTTCACCCACTCCCCTCCTGGTCCATCACTTTGCTCTTATGTTGACTGGTCGTAGTTGGGTCTTCCACACTTACCTCTACCCTCAGCTTCGCCGTCTTCACGAGACATCATGATATCCGGGAGTAATTATACGTCGCCTCAATTTCTTCGACCGAAATTATGGATGTCCAGGTCTATATTTGTAATACTTGGAAGCTGCTGGCTCACTGTGACTGTCAGGGTCTGTACTAGTATGGGTGGATGGGTAGGGGCTTTTAAATGCAATAGCATAGGATGAAAGGCCAATGACGAGATGGAACCTGTATCATTTTAACAGATGTTGACATGTGCCATCACAGTCCCTGCTATGTACATGTCTCACAGCGAGGGTGGACGTTAGTACAATCGATAACCTTGTACCTGGGGAGTGGTATACTGATTAGTCTTAATATCACGGCAGGTGTGATTCAGTTACAGTTTGATGACTATTGGGAGGAACATTTAGAAGTTCAATTCTTTGCAAGAACTCTTGATAGACGAGGCCGCGAGAAAAGAGGATTGCGATTGACGAGCACCATCTGACATTTGACTAGACCAGCACAGGGTCTACAGTCGGCAGTAATGTTAGGTACGAACATGGAGGTATGGATGATCAAAAGATCAAGTGGCAAACAAACAAACAGTGCTCATGTCAATTGAGTGAAATGAACCTATGGACGGCATACCCATCAAACTGCCTGAAAAACTTCAACAGACAATAACCAAATCAAGACAGGATGTATATGCTTACAAAGTACACAAGACGAGAAAGCGGACACGTTAAGGATAGGAAGCCAAGTCACTTGGGATTTCATCATTTCATGTGTATTGACGATTTACGTCTATCGTTTAGCTCTTGGCAGCACCGGCCTTGAAGAGGATGATATCACCATCCTCAACGACGTAATCCTTGCCCTTGGTCATGACCTTGCCCTTGGCCTTGACCTCGGCTTCGTCACCACCGAGCTCCCTGAGGACGTTGTAGTTGTAGACGACAGCCTGAATGAAGGTCTTCTCGAAATCAGTGTGAATGACACCAGCGGCCTGGGGAGCCTTGGTGCCGTTACGGATGGTCCACTGGCGGACCTCATCCGGGCCGGTGGTGAAGAACGAGCCGAGGTTGAGGGCCTTGCGCATCTGGATAATAATCTTGGGCAGAGCAGACTCGGCGCCAACCTTCTTGCACTCCTCGGCAGCCTCAGCCTCGGTCTCGAAGCGGGTGAGGCGCTCCTCGAAGGAGACGGAAAGGGGAATGATGGGATCACCCTTGGCGTGCTCGTTGATCCAGGCGGCAATCGCGGGAAGATGCTTGTTCTTCTTGCGGATGTAGTCACGCTCGGAAAGGTTGACGAGGTAGACGACGGGCTTGGCAGTCAAAAGGAAGAGAGGGTTGATGACCTCGATCTGAAATCATGCAGAGTTAGCAGATGTTTCTATGACCAATGACGAAACATGATGCATAGTGATGGATGGAGGGTGTGTCAGGATAAAGTTTTTGTCTCATGGATCCTCATAGAGGAATCGAAGAGCTGGGTTTATAATTCAGGCCTTGGGCCTTTTATCATCATTCAAGGATTGGAGGGTTATGCAGATGAGGAAAATGTTGCTTACCTCCTTGGGACCCCAGGTGCCCTTGCGGACCTCCTTGCCGTCCTTGAGGTGGGCCAAGATCTTCTCGATAGTGGCCTCTTCCTCCTTCCACTGCTTCATCTGAAGAGACTGACCGCCCTGGCGGGTCTTCTTCTTCTGGTTCTCGAGGGCTTTCTCGACGAACTCGATATCCTTGAGACGAAGCTCCTCGCTGATGATGTCAAGATCACGGGTGGGGTTGACATCACCCTCGACGTGGATAATCTCGGCATCATCGAAAGCGCGGACAACCTGGAAGATGGCATCGACGGCGCGGATGTGAGACAAGAAAGCATTGCCGAGACCAGCGCCGGTGGAGGCACCGCGGGTAAGACCAGCGATATCGTAGACAGTCAAGTTGGCGGGGACGCGCGACTTGGGCTGGTACTTCTCGCACAGCCAGTCGAAGCGCTCATCGGGAACGATGACGCGGGCCTCCTCGGGGTCAATGGTGGCATAGGGGAAGTTCTGGCGCGCGGGTGGTCGTGTTAGTTTCCGGTCGTCATCATCATCATCGTCGCTGTCGTCGCCAGGGTCGCGAGCGTGGGAGCGGGAGGAAGAGGGTCGCTTACGGCAGGGTTACCAAGGTTGCACTTGGTGATGGCCTGGAAGAGCGTGGACTTGCCGACGTTTGCCAGTCCAACCTAGAATCGGCATCGAGAACAGTGTCAGCGGGGTTGGGGAGATGGAGCCTAACCTAGGCGCAACCCACAATGCCGCTCTTCAGGTTGTTGCCGGGACGGCCCAGGAGGATCTTCTCCTCCACGACCTGCTTCTTGGGAGGCATCTTGTTCCGTTTGCTATAAGAACGGGTGGAGATGTAGACGAAGGTGCAGTCAAGCCCTTTTCTGTTTGGATGAAGCGAGAGGGGGAAAGAGGCAGAGCGGAAGCTGCGAGAGCTGGAGCTAGCAACAGCTGCTGCGACTTTGGTTCGGAGGAGGGGTAAAGAGGAGGGTTGAGAAGCGAAAAATAGGGATCGGAGCCCTAGGTGAGAAGACGTTTTGACGGTTGCCAGTGGGCTGAAAGGCTTACTACCCCCGCCCAAAAAATACACAACGTTTCGGTAAAAGTGTGAAAAAAGAAAGAGGAAGGTAAAAGGCAAATCTGCAACAGCGAGCCGCTAAGAAGGACAAGTCAATGTCTCAAAGCCGGCTTCCTTCCCTAGGAGTTGTTTGGTAATGGTCGATCGCTTGATGGTCCAAGATTGATTGTTTGAAAAGAAAAAAGAGCAACAAGGGTAACAAGAACCAACGTTGTCAAATTGCAAGGACAAGTGGTATTTTGTTTTGGGGGTTTTCTTGTTTGCGAGAATTGGCTGATCCAAAAAGATCACGGAAGGAAAAGGGCAAATGCAAAATTTTATCAGCCCTTGTTTGAAAACTCCGCCCAAAGCCCAAACAAAACACATGGATCGTGTCACAGTCAGTCCCGTCCCGTCCCATTCCTCCAGCAGCTCGAGTGGGGTGTCTTAGTTTTTTGCCCGTCCTGGAAGATCGATTCACCGATTCAGGCCCTCGCCCTGAGCGGGGTGTTCTCACAGGCGGCTCCCCTGCCCCTGCTGGGTGTGTGATGACGCTCTGCGACAGCCACCCCAGCACCTGTTCGCATGGCGTATGGCCCTTCGACGCAGCTGCCAGCCGCAAAGGTGCGAGATCTGCTGCCATGTCGTCGTACAAACACCCCAGATCGAGCAAATTGGAAGCATTTCGGGTAGTCATTTAACCAGTTATTTACGCGTACATTTGCATCCTATAGCTGAATGTCCTCTCCAGACAATACATCTAGACATTACCTATCTCCCTCCACGTGTCCATTTTCCGTCCTTCATTGTCGCCTGCTGAAAGCGTCCCTGTTCCCAACCGCATCGTGCGTATCCCGTCGTTTCGCCTCCAGCCTATTTCCATCGACCTCCGTGATAAGCGCTGATCGAGCGGTTGGGGGCTGAATAGCTCTTTGTCCTCAAGGGTTCGAGACCTGTCTTGAATTGCCAACTTCGGGTGCCGCATGCGCCATATCAAGCAGTGATCGAGCTTTTTCAGCAACCGAGTTTAACTGCTTACTCCCGCCCGTTCGACGAGTTTCAAGATTCCTGTCTCAGGTTCTCCAGTTTGTCCATCTGAGCGGGGGAGTGCCTCTACGAACCGTCGTCACCATGTCAAGCAAGAAGTCGCACAAGCCAGCAAGGCCACACCGATCGACCCTAGCAATTCCAAAGACCGAGATCCTCATCAACGTCTACGATCTCCTGCCGGTACGTTCCAATCTTCTCCGCCTTTGAACATCTCCCCCATGGCTACGACCGGTACTAACCAGCTCTCTTCTTTCGCTCTTCAAGCCCGGCCGCATCTCCTCGACCCTCTGGTTCCTCGGAACCTCCCTCCTCCATTCCGGCGTCGTCATCAACGGCCGCGAATACGCCTACGGTGGCCACGCACACCGAGGCAAGACGGGTGTCTACTGGACGGCGCCCCGCACCGAGCCGCCAGGGGGCACCTTCCGGTGCGAGCTCTTGCACGGCTTCACGCTCGCGACGCCGGCCGAGATCGACGCCATCATCCGCGAAGCGTCCGAAGAGTTTCTCGGGACCGCCTACAATCTGTTGACGAAAAACTGCAACCACTTTACGTCGCACCTGTGTCAGAAGCTGACGGGGCTGCCCGGGCCGGCATGGCTGAATCGTGCCGCCAGCATCGGCGTGGCTCTGCCGTGCATGGTGCCCAAGGATTGGATCGAGGTTCCCGAGTATGATACTGCGGACGGCGAGCTGGTTGATGACGTGGATCATGGTGGTAACGGGCGCGGAAACGGTGGACAACATGGGAACAGTGGTGGGCGGGACAAAAGAGAGGAGAGGAGGGCAGCGAGAGAGGAAAGGAAAAGGGCTGCGAGGGAGGAGGATGAAGAGGAGCTGCTGGCGGACGAGCGGTCGAGGATGTTGAGCAGTTCGGGGGAGTCGCCTACGCTTGTTGATCTGGGAAGGGAAAGAGACCGCGAACTGGCATCGACGACATATAATATCGGTAATGGTAATGAGAGGGAGGGTGAGGGGCAATATCGAGATGATGAAGGGGGGGCCGAAAGTGGGAAGGGTAAGGGGAAGGCGGCAGCGGTGGCTACGAGAGATTCTGCTGGCAGAACGCTACCGCCTGCGGAGAGGGCACCGGGTTCTTCTTAAGGTCGAGCTGCTTGGATGAGATCCCTATTTCTTATCAGGGGCCAGGTTTGCTTTTTTCATTTTGCATGGCATCGCTGGGAGTTATGGCTCTGTGTTTTTTTGTCTGGGTTTTGTTTGTCCTTGGGAGGTTAGCTATGCGCTTCATCAGCTTCTCTTTTCCTATGATACCAATGGCGCATCGTTGCATTTCATTCCATCATAGCTGGGCAATCCACTGGACAACAAAAGCCAGTATTGACGGGTCTATTTTCCTGCTCGAGCTCTTTCCTTTGTTCTATGCGTTGAGTTACTTTTTGCCTACTACTTGTTCTCTACTTCAGCCACTGGACGAGTGGTCGTAAGGACATACCGAACAGGTCCAGTATAATACACTTTTTCATCGACACTCTTGCATTTTGAGCTACATAGCATGTTGTTGACGAAGACTCAGATCTTACATAAGGTCTTGATTAGTGTTTTCACCTAGCCATAACACGTCTCGTACGTCTTTCCATGACCCATTGTGACGTCTCGCAGGTGGGTATCGTATATCTCTTCGAGATTGGCATCAGATAAGTATGGTGAGCATAAGACATACTTGCTTTCTGACATCTTTTACCATGCCTCGTGCAAGTTTTTCCGGGTCTCATTTTCGAGAGTGATTGCGGTACGCAAAACGACCGCCTGAGGCAAACATGTCAACCTATTCTCCAGCTCATCATTCATCTGTCACAGAGATAGTCGAAAAAAAAAAAGTCGAAGTATTCCGTCATCAATCTAAGGAGCAAAAGGACGACAAAGCCCCCCCAAGATAAAAGGAAAAAGAATTGACTGGAGTGGGATTCGAACCCACGCATCTTGCGATACTAGAATGCACCTCACCTGGTGGTGAAGAAGAATGTTCTTGAGTCTAGCGCCTTAGACCGCTCGGCCATCCAGCCATTAGAGATTGGTGAAAATTAGTCCAGTGCATAAATCTATATCGTGATTTGCAAAACTTACCACTGACACAAACTGTGCGTATACTCGGGGGTTGCGGTTCGCTTTTGGTTTGCCAAGCTTCTTTGCCCCCTCTCCCTTCTCCTATGGGGAGAGGGGGGAGAAAAGCTTGGCCAGCCAAAAGCGACCCGAAACCCTCGAGTAGTTGAATGACTTGCATTTGGAAAGGAATTGCGTACTAGTGTAGATGCTGTGGGGTATCAAGTTACGGCTTGTACAATGCCGAAATGCCAGAAAGACCGCAGTGATGCGCAAAAACGTGGATGCAAGAGGGGTATAGGAAGGTAGGTAGGTAGCGCAGTGGTCGTAGAAATGAGCCAAATAAGGACAGTCTAACACGGCTTGCTTTGGTGTACTACAGAAAAGACCGTTACAAAAGAGACTGTGATTTGTCTTGTAAGAATTTGGGAGCACATTACCCAGAGTCTATTATACCTCCTTTGATCCAGGAAACCCTTCGAGTTTCATTCTGTTGAAAGGTGCACCAAAGACGCGGGGAGGCGTGCACAATAGTCTACCCCGAGGTGTGATTTGACCTGCTGCTTGGTTTATCCTGACGACCGTTCTCGGCTGGGTAGATACGGGACATTATGGCAATAGCGGGTTAAGGCCGAGATGCATCCAGGGGTATAGGACTTTGCTCTGCATCGACAGTGTTATATTATCTCTAGATACCCGCTTTGTGAGCCCGAGGTTCGTGGAACAGGTACCCTTAGATAGACATTTACATCTGGCCCGAGCTCGCGAAATTGCAACTTGCGATCGTGGGAGCATGTATCTGGAGGACAGCCGTTCTACGTGCTTGTATGAGGGACATTGTAGAGGTAATGAGGATTACAAAGATACTTACCAAGTAACTGCATACACGATATATTTTGTTGCACATATGTGAGCTCAAGAGGGTCAGTAGGTGACTTGCATTGCCGTTCGGTGCATGCCATGCCCCTCTTGTTGGGCGTTCGATGGCCTTCGGTTCACTACACTGCATGTTTGACAAAATAAAACCGAGGAAAGGGCTTGTATAAGACAGCCAGCCCCAGAACTACGCTACCAAAGGTACATATGTGTTGCCTTGAGATCGAAAGTCTCGGGGCTTCATCGCTGATATCCCTTTTGACTGGACCATGATGCTGGATGTGGTGTAACCGCCATTTAAGATTATCAAACAGGCTGCCATTCGTCCCTCTTCATTTACAGACAATCTCTCGCCTATATCCCTTCCGTCTCACTAATTTATCAGTTCTCTTTCTCGTTTGCAACTGTCCAGCGGCAGCCAAAAGCCGTTCATGCAACAACAGGTTTAGCGATCTTCATACCCTTTAACGGCCCGGCCTCTCCCCTCTCAACCCTTCCATTCCACACAGCCATCTGCTCACAAAATCCATATAACGTATCCGTGACGCCCTTGTACCCAATTCCTCCCTCCTCCACACTCTTCCTCGCCCTGGAATCATCGCATATCGTGTACGCTGACACAGTGAACACCGCCGGCTGTAACATAGCCAGATCCCCTGTGGGCTCCTTCCACCCAAACAGCTTGGTCAGGACAGGGAAGTTGATGATCAAGTTAGCCCAGCCCTCGATAGCGTAGGCCAAGATCAGCATGAGCACGGGAGGCGGGTAGGTCTCGGTGATGGGGGTGATGGAGAGCAAGCTACTCAAGGTGTAGAAGTCTTGAAAAGCAATGGGCGGGCCGGGGTCGGTGACGAGGAGGGGACGGCCGGCGCAGGCGGGAGGGACGGGGCGAACGGAGGGGTTGAGTGCGGCTTCGAAGAGGAGATGGGCGATGGAGGCGTTGCGGGAGGAGATCCAATTTCTAGAGGCGTGGTTACGGCGTTAGTCGGAGGATCTCGAGACAGAGAAGAGAAGAAAAAAAAAAAAGAAAAAGAAATTACAGGGTATACTGACTGGATGACGTGCGGCGTCCAGGAGACAATGCTACCGGATTTGAGAGCAGGACTAAAGGTTACGTCGTTCTCTACATCTCCAAAGATGCCATTGCCGGGACGGACAACACCGGTACGGAAGCCTTCTTGGTTGGCGGCGCAGACCAGACGTTCAGCTTCGGCTTTGGCGCGAGCGTCTTGTTTCCCATTTCAACCAGCGTTCAGCAAAAGTTCATTACCAGTGCACCCACCAACCGAGGCTTAGGATGAGACTCACAGTTGCCAAAGAAGTCATCGTGAGCCTTCAACGGCTGATCGAAGTCATCCTCGTTGAACACTTGAACATAGTTACTTGCCAAGCTGGGAAGAGGCCATCGCCAAAACTTCATAGGCTTGAGGGCAACGGAGGACGAGGACGTGGCAATGAAAATGTCAGCACCGGCCTCCTTGGCAGCAGCCAGGACGTTGGAGGCACCACCGACGTTTACGCGAGCGACACGGTCATAGGTCTTGATGCTCCGTTCGCCAGGACGGATCACGGCGGCAGTGTGGTACACGGTCAGGGGAAGACTTGCAACAGACGCAGGCCATGGCTTGGAGAAGGCCGCTTTCACCGAGTCGGGGGAGGTGATGTCAGTCTTGATGACCTCAACCTTGCTGGCCACACCAAGAATTTGGGGACGACGAAGAGGAGCAAAGTCAACGATCCGGACACTCTCCGCGGACTGTCCACGAGCGAGCAAGTGTGAGACAATGTCACCTCCTACAAGACCTATCGTGGCGTGTCAGTTACGGTTACCCCTTTTCATGTTTCTCGTGCACGAGAAATTTGGAGCTGGCATGGCTCGTAAAAACAAGAAAAAACTAACCGGAACCGCCCACTACGATGTACCGTCTGTCCAACTTGGGTGGGAGATGTTTCTTGATATCGACGGGGTTCTTTTTGACCCGTTCATATGTCTCCCGTATATACTCCTTGCTCCAGCGATTGGAAATGGGTGACAGTTTCAGAGCTGTGGGTGGCACCGTTCGCATGGTCCTGTTGACTCCATAGACCCAAAGCGCGCCGACGATAACGACTGCAAGGCCCAGTGGCCAAAGATCAAGTCCTTCCACCATGATTTCTCATGGCTCTTGATGGCCTTGTCGTTGGAGTAACTCGGAGATGAGAGATCCCGTGGCCTGTCTCGAAGGTCGGGATTCTTTGAAGACGTTGTGCGTCGTGGATAGCAGCCGTGGCAAGCAAACGCAGTGCAACCAGACGCTCTACTGCTTGCTACGCATCAAGATGAAGCCGTTGACGATGCTGTTTAATCACAGATCAGGGTCCACGCGGGTCGTTGCGGTTAAATCCCCCTTTTTGTTCATTAATATCCGCGTATCCGCGGTGCACCTAGTCCAGACCATCTGTCGCCTCAATAAACACAGTAGGTTGGGCGCCTGAACAAGGATCAAGTGCGTAGATCTACCGGTCGCTGCCAGATGGAAAATCACTGATACCCTTCTGAAGCCGCGGCCCGCCCGGTCATTGATGCGCTCCAGGTTCTGTCGCCTACGGACCGAAAGCGCCGTAAAGATTTAACGATCCATTGAAGGCAAACATCAGACTTCATTATCACCACATTGCTTTTGAGTTCCATGATGTTTTCTGTCGTGAAGAACATGTGATATGAGGCAAACACAAGCGTTCTGGTTCCCATCAGAAGTTATGTGGAGGGTAACATACACATTGCTCGCCAAGGACCCTGTATTTCACTCACCCTGGAGGCAGCATTACTAGGTCTCAACCGGCTTGACATGGCGGCCACACAAAGGGACAGCGGTGCGTGTCGCAAAATATTATCAGAGTATGTAAAGTGAACTCTTGTCCGAACACAGCGCGCCGGCAGCTGATGTAGCACAGTTCAAAGCTTCGTCTCGCCTTGTGTGGACTGATAAAAGATCGTCAGGGAGCCCGCTGGATATCAGACGAGGCAGCGTGGCTACCATGTCTTTTTTTTTGTTTTTTTATACCATCGCGGCAGTGTAGGAGTGTGCGCACAAGGGGTTGCAGGGTGTGCACAAACACTCTCCAGGGGCCGAGCTTATGAAGAACATTCATTTATTTGCCCTTCGTCACGCTTTTATGACTATCGCTCGCTCAAACATTGTGCTCGACTGCTCGGCGTTTGGACATTGACTGACGTTGGGCAAGGCGTGGTCGGTTGTCCGGTGCCCCCCGAGATGAGATTGCAAAACGCTGGAATGCGTTCGAGACCAGTCCGGTTCGTCGGATCTTCAGCGCATCTCGGCTTGCGATAGCGAGGTGAACCGTCGCATCAAATACTCGCCGTGACGAAAATCACAGGCGACTCACACAGAGTCGATCACTTGGAAGCCCCAAACGATAGCCACATGATTCGTTTGGTCAATTTCTCATGTCCCACAGCAATCCGCACAATTTAGCGAGAAAATTTGTGTTGGAGATGCCGACCCGACGTTGTGGAATCGCAACCCATCCGGATGATCCAGGTCTGCCAGGGAGAGCCGCGGGAGAGAGACACGGGTCCCAACCATGATGTGCAGTGAAAATGGTACATACGTAGTTCGACGGGGGAGCTCCTGGCGAACCTTTCACTGTCTCTTCCCTCTACGAGCAATTGCGCCCCTTTGATTGGCCTACGGTCATTAGGGCAGTGCTTTAACACCAGGGGCAGGCGATGTGCTGTGCGCTGTGCGCCTGCCCGCCTGCACCGTCCACTGCACAGCTGCAGCGTCGGAACTTGCCTGATCACCAACCTACCGCCAAAACCAGGTGGGACCGTGAATGATGGACGTGCCTTCTGCCACGTGCATCACGTGTGGGGCTAAATAAACAGAAGATGGTGCTGATGATATTGCACTGCAAGCGACGATGGAAGGAACCCCTAGAGGTAGGTAGCGGCTTGGGCGGTTTCACTGTCACTGAAGGATTCTGCAATGCTACAAAATATTGTTGTTGATGCTGTGTCTTTTGTTGGTGTTTTGACATTGTTGGATCGATTTCCTGGGGGGGCAGACAAACTAAGCTAAAGAGGAAGCTCCACAACTGAACTCGATCTACGCAGCGATTGTGATTAGCGGTGACTTTTACGAGACGGCACTACAGCTCACCCCTGCAGTGGTTTGTCCGTTAGCGCGGGACTTTGACACGCACTTTACGCAACCTATCACCATACCAGCAAATTTAATACAAGAAGTAATATCATCCGGATGCGATTTGGATACTTTCATCATACAAGTTATACACTTCGTCCAATTCTATGGTTTCGCATGTGGGTTTCCCATCGTTTTTCTGTGTATCTTGGGCAAACTCCCGTCGCAAGAACCGCACTAGCAATCATATCAGCATTGAACTGTACTGCCAGGATACATACACCTCGCCTCGCGACTGCGACTACACGTTAGAAATGTGAGACTTAGGTAGGTACGGAATGCAACAGTTCGTCCCAAGTTCGTTCAATAGACAATGGAATTGCTTTGACCGCCCGCGCTTGAGCATGACTACAAAAATGCTACGGCCATGCCAACCCGCGCCGGAAATACACTAGAGGAAGGCGGGTTGTTAGGCCAACATTTCCATCATCCCATGCCATCCGAGCAACTCCCAAGCGAAGGGCCATTGGTGCCGCATCTGTTATCATTTTTGGTTGGCCCGCGAACCCACGTCCCTTCGGGATTTCCCTTTCTTGATCCACATTAATTGCACTGTGATGTGACCGCCCTGGCTTGGCCCACGTCTGATATCTGTGTCACAAGTTTTCTCAGATTTTTCTGAGAGAAATATAACGATGACGCTACCATCGCTACCAGAAGACGTTTCACCCATCGGAGCCATGTCGAATCGAGCAGCCGCGTGACCGTAGAAGACGGGCCAAGGAGACAGAACCGAGAATTCGGGAGCAAAATGTTTGCATGGGCTCATTTAACCAGCTGCACGCTAGCATCGGTGCAAATCGGGGTTCCTGATGGCTGTCTCTCCTCGCGTCCAGTCTTTGGGCAGTCGCCGGTGGATCGTGAAAACGAAGGTGTCTTCCGTCGTACTCTTACTCTTGCCCCACCGCCGAAGAATAGGCTCAGGTCTTGGGGCGGTCCTGAGCGGTTCTGCCCTGGGTTCAGCGCTCTCGGGCGTCCAGTCCGGCAGTCGCACCAGCCACAATTCTACCCACTGTCCAAGAATTGCCAAGCCACCTAGCGTTGCAGCGGATTTGCAAGGGGTCTTGTCCCGTTACCGTAGGTTTGCAGGGACGGAGTGCAGTCGGTATCAGTCGCTCTCATTGTGAGTTCGCGCTCTATTGTCGCCGGTGTCGCCCTCTTCCCGCCTCTGATTTTCCGCCTCTGGCCATGTAATAAATCCAGGCCGTGAACGCGTGCCGGGAGCCGGGATCTATGACACTGTGCTCTATCCCCGGTTTGTACACCTCAGCTCTACACCAGTACACCTAGCGAGGTACCCAAGTCCCAGGGCGGCTACAACGTTGACGGTGTGCGACCGTGACCCGGACGCAGCAGGTGGAAAGGCCGAGCTCCAATAAACACGCAGCAGCAAGGAGCAATTAAACCCGGCACTCGTCCTGCGTGCCTTCCCGTTTTGGGCTTCTTTCGAAAAACCGGGGGTGCCGTCCCGTCCCAGAATCGTTTCATTTCAGGTTCTCGTCGACACCGACCGCCGCGGCCTTCCATTGCACTTAATACCCGCCTCTCCCTTCTTATCTCTCCTCCCTCTCGTCTCTTCGTAATTTTTCCGTCTGCTTGTTCTGCGAACGCCACATATTCCCCGCCTTCACCATTCTCTCAGATTTTAATAACTAATCCAAGCAATATCACGTCCGGGTTTTCCGACATCGATACATAATAGTCTCTACTTCACACCACCACAACAACAACAACCTCAACTCATCACACACTCTCCTCCCATCGCCAGTCACCATGCGTCAGAACATCATCTTCGTCGCGCTCTCCGCGCTCACCGCTGCCGTCGCCGCCCAGTCGTCCAACAGCAACCTCACCGTTCCCGTCGACTCTGTTAACCCGACCTTGAGGAGTATGTAACACAGTTTTCAAAAGCTGTTGTGTTACCTCGAGATACTAACAGCGTCTTGTCATCAGACCAGTGGTGTGTTGCCCAGTACAACACCTGCAAGATTCTTTGCGGCATGTCTGTCTCGAAGAACGACTGCGACCCGGTATGTTTTGACCATCTGGAGTACCGCTTAAGGAAGCATCACTGACCACAGGTTCCCTCTTATAGACGACGCTGGAATGGAACTGCACTTGCAGTTCTGGTGTTTCCCCAGCTGTTGAGGATTACGAACAGACTGTACCTTTTGTAAGTGCCCCTCGATTTTTGTTCTGGAAGCAAGGTTTCTGACGCGGCGCCCTACAGCTCATGTGTGAATTCGCCTTCGACACCTGCATCGCCAACCACCCCAACGATTCCCAGGGTCAGGATCAGTGCGAGACGGACATCAGAGACAAGTGCGCTACCCAGACGCCTGCCGCGATCAAGGTCACCTCGTCTACCGCCGCTGCCACCACTTCCGCTGCCAAGCCCACCCAGACCAAGGACACTGCCGTTGAGACTTCCGCTGCCGCCGCTTCCTCGACCTCTGAAAGCTTTGCTGCTCCCACCAACGCTGCTGCCTTCCTCGGCAACGGTGTTGCTGCTGCTGCTGCCGGTGTCTTCGCCGCTGCCCTTCTCTAAGCAGTGCACCTCATGAAGGAATGACGGACGTTTGATACCTCGATGCTTCTCAAAAGTTTACTTCTAGTTTGCTTTGGATGCGGCGGCGTTGACGGTTGTATTCAGTTCTTTGTATCTACCCAAAAAGGACCCTCTCGGAAGGCTTGTAATCACGCATACATCGCGGCGGCAGTATCCACCTTGACACAAGGCAATAAGCTGAAGGGAAGCATTAATACGTACGCAGAGCGCCTAATGAGAGGAGGCCAGGTGTGATTAACAGAGCAGAAATGGGCGATTTAACGCATATCTTTGGTGGTAGGAAAGTACATGAGGGGTCTTGTACGTGCGTGGTTTGGTGCCCGTTTGGTTTGAGGATGAGAGACAGTCGAATACCCTTTATCTTAATTCATAGTTGTGACCCTCTATCCATTGTTTGAACCTTATTGTGAGTGCCGTGCCTTTCAATCCGAGAGAATGGGATATAAATAAGTTAGTCAGTTGTCCTTGATGGGCTTTGTCGGCAACTGGTTGTCTAATAAGCCCTTTGTCTGCATTGAGTTTTCGCTGATAGAACTCTGGACAGAATCCTACTCAGCGAGATGGGTGGTTGCTTTGAAACAATGCGATTGTGGAAATAGAATTGCTATTTCCTGGTCCGCTTTGTCAGTAACTGAATGTTGATATAGCCCTTTGTTTACACGTGAATTGTTGCTGATAGAACTCTTTGGACAGGGCCGTACATAGCAGAAAAGCTGACTGCTTTTAAACAATCCGATTGTCAACATGGTGTTTCTGTTCATACCTGCTTGCTGTTCTATCATCTTGTTTCGATTTTTCAACCAGTCACATACATACCTTGACAAGTCCGGTAACGGCTGACATATTGTCACAACAAAAATGCCACCTAAAAGAGCAGCAAACGGAGCGGCTCCCAACCAGCCAGCTGCCCAAAGACAACGATTAGCACCAGCAGCTCCTCCTCCTTCTCCTCCCCCTTGCCCTCCTGCCCTAGCCCCTAGATCACCCACTATTATCCCGGTGGAGATCAAAACGCAGCTTGTGCTCGCCGCCCTGACCACGCACGACGATGTCTGCGCTTTCGAGCTGTTTTGCTCAGACTGGAAGATCTGCAATCGACAGCGAGAAAAGCCCCAACTCGAGGAAATCCTGAGGAAGCTGAGAGTGGACGTGTACACGCCGAGCTCGCAAACACTAGGAGTGCAGGCGGGCCAGGGAGAAGAACAGTTTTATGGGGAGCTGAAGAGTTATTTTGCGGGACACTCGATGAGAAGAACGCAATGTCCACTCTTTGGGGAGGGAGCACATGGGTTCGAAAACAAACATTGTGAAAAGTGCGGATGCGTTCCGTTCCAGAAGGAGGTTCTGATGGAAGGCGTTGGGGCGTGGGATACGGATTGGGAGGGGAAGCTAGATCCGGAGGCAAGGGGGTGGGAGGGAGGAGTCTGGACTGGGAGGCTCAGGAAGGGAATGGGTTATCGTGGAAATGGAAGAGATGGGAGAAGAAAAGAGGTTGAGCCATGGGACCAAATGGTTGAGGAGGCGAGGACTAGGGGTATCAATGCCTACATGACAAGCATAAGGAATACGAGGATGGGGAGGTTTTTGGCGAGGGAGGTGAAGAGAGAGAGAACGCTCCGGTCGGACAGATTGGTCGTCTTGAATCAGAGGGCGACGAAATGGTTAGGAAGATTTACTCAGAGAGGGTTGGGAAAACGGGTGCGTAGCGGGCTTGAGGGGATGATCACTTGGGGAGACGAGATGGTTGGACTCTTGCCTTTCATCGAAGGGTTCACGGAGAGGTTTGACGACAACGGTTATTTGAGGGTGGCCACCGGTGCACCGGCGTCCTCGGCTGTCGCCGCTGCCGTCAAAGCCAGACCCTTTAACCAGGTAAAGAAACATCTCTCCCCAGAACCTCCTAACCAAGAGCCCTGGGTTCTATATAGACGTATCCGCCATCTCATGATCAACAGCGACCCCTATCTCAATTTGGAAGTAGGTATTGACTTCCCCCGTTATGGTATCATTCCTCCCACAGAACCACCGGCCGCCACGGTGCTGGCTAATATGTCAGGGGTCCGAGACCGTGTCTATTTTGAGCACATGGTGCCCTTGTACGTTGATTATCAGGCCTTGACAAATCTCGAGACACTCTACCTCGACTTGAGGCACGTTACAAAACGCAAATTCGGCACCACGCAGTTCCAGATGGAAGAGGTCGTACAGCTGGCTCGAAGGCTCGAAGGAAAGAACCTGCGATTGCTCGTCATTGCCGGATTGCGAACTGGAGGGGCGTATTGGTGGGGGGAGAGAGAGCTGAACATCGAGGAAATCGAGGGATTTGAGATCCAGAATCCAGCGGACTGGAGGAATGTCAACTGGCTTTTGGAATTTAGAGGAGCGTTGAGGCCTGGGGGGAAGCTGATTCTGGTGGATTCGTATTTCAATGATTTTCCTTGGCTTCGACATTGGCCATGGACAAATCCATTGAACGCGGATGGGCCCATGCCACAAGGCCATGTACCTATGGGTGGGTTCCCGGTTTTCGTGAACAATTTCATTGACAACGAATTTGATGACAACGAACTTGATGACAACGAAGATGATGACAACGAAGATGATGACTTGACGGAGGAAACATCATCGGAGGAAACATCATCGGAGGAAACATCATCGGGGGAATCATCATCGGGGGAATCAATATAAACGACCAACGAAGCATGACAGCCCCCTAGCCAAAGCATCCAAGAAAGAGGTCTGGCTTAAAGTACAACAATAAAGGCAACAACAACGGAAATAATCGATATGAGACGTAGTTTGATTGTTCAAATTGGAAAGGGCTGGTAATAGCTGGTCATCGTACTAGTTGATGCACCCAATTTGACCTTCCAACGGCCTCGAGCCTGGCGAGGCATCAAGTGAATGAAACCATCAATGCAGTCCTGGGGAATCCGTGCCAATATCAACGGGGGTCTCAAAACCACGGCGTATATTCTCCTCATTGCTCATCAAGACATGAAGCCCTGGAAACTCCCTTCTCATCTTGACCTCATCTTGTGCCAAGGGTGTTTGATGGAGTCGAGATCTGGAGAGTGTGATCAGTGCTGTATAGACCAGATCCCCTGAATCTCCAATAAGGTCTTCATCGCCCTCGGAAGATGAACTCCGGATCTGCATCATAACGAGGTAAATATCCACAAAGTGTATTCGAACCAGCGTTTGCGCAGGTAACCGCGCAGTGCGATTTGCTCGATCGTTGACATAGTGACATACATAGGTTCGTCAACCGCAGCTGTTCAGGTTCCTGTTCCTGAGTTTGACATCCCGATGCCGAACTGATAGGAACGATACATCAAAGGCACATCATGTGCAAAAAGTTCTCGGGCCGGGCCGACCAGTACTATCAACTTACAAGATTCTCAGTTGTCCGTACAAAAAGCATAGATCTCGAACATATGATGGGATGCTGGATAACTTGTAAACGTTCAATCATCAATATATGTGACAGGTGCCATGCAATGCGGGGAACGCTTCAGGTTGTTCAGCCCCGGCATTTGAGTATCTTGAGGTGATACAAGATACCCAACCCTCGCTTCGGGTTTCGCATGGTTCAATTGTGGACTGGCTCGTCCGTCCCATTCTCAAAGCCCGAGTGTGGATGCCCAAAATGACGGGATACATAGTGTAGACAAAAAATGGGTCCGGTCCGTGATGGTGGCTGTCGAAATGGAAAATGGCGTACGTAGGTATTGAATGAACTTGAACATCGAACGCGATAACCAGGGCGACCTTTCTCGTCCATTGAGGTCAGGGTTGTTTGGCGTGGATCGATTGGCTGTGGTGATGCCATGGCCAACGCCGTCAAGCCGAACGTCAAGGGGAATCTGCATGCTCGCTGCAATGCTCATTGGCCAGCCGATCATATCGATGTCTTTCCATTGTGGGTTGGCAGTTGCTGAAGGTGCGTCGCCAGTCGCTCCTGCCTTGGTGGCAACCACTCATGAGAACTCCGTCGCACACTTTGCATCTGCCATTTGTATCATTTGGACCACTTGGAGAGGTGTGCCTGCCCTGCTTTCGTGCCTTCCATTTGCGACGACTCAAGCCTGCATTCGACTCCCGTCACTCAGTCAGGCTGGCAAGGGAAGTGGGTGCCGGGCATTATCGGCTATCGACGTCCTTCCGATTTCCAAACCTTCGCCATCTTTCCTTCATCCCAAGTCCACGGTTCCCAGCTGGATCGAGGTCCAAAATGCGTGCCATACACCCCTCTGACCCCTCGCCAGACCTTTGCTTTCACTCCCATTCACTCCTCGCCCTAGACAGAGTCCGGATTTGCTTTGCGACGCGCAAGGTCACTCACTCAACCTTCCTTCACGAACCAGTCTTCTTCGCGAAACCATATATTTCCCGGCTGACAAAGACACGCTGTCGCTTGCGTTCCTCACCATAAACTCATCTTCCAAGAGCGTCACGTATCCAACAACACCCCGGTTTCACAAGGAATCGACAGTTGTGATGGAAAGAGGTTGCTTACAGCCGTCGCAAGGAGTTGTGGTTCGTTATGGCGCCTAGCAAGGACTCAAAGCGGGGCTCGAAAACCCCAGAAAGCAACATCAACAATAGTAATACGTCGAATGCCAACGGAGGAGGCGGCAATGCCGGCAGAGACTCTCGCCATACCGGCCTGTTCTTGCCTCTCTTTGGCTTGCGCCTGTCTCCACGCCATAAGCGCCGTATCGAGACCGAGCGGGATCGCATGCTGTCGGATCCTGATCGACACTCACATCTACGTCGCGGACGCGTGACACCTCCAGCGCCAACTGTGGACGTCGAGCTAAAGCCTTTGGATGATCGACAACCGAACATGAAGTTCGCTCTACGGCCCGGTTCTGCAGTCGCTAAGCTCGAACAGCTCGTCCGGCGCCGTTATCAAGACAATTGTCATCCCATCGCCACAGCTGCTCACTTTGCTTTTTATGTGGATGGCAGAGTACTCAACCCCGAGGATGTGCTCCCTCCCACGTCTTTCAAGATCTGGTACCGCATGTCCAGATCTTCTGCCGAGGTTGACCAGTGGAAGTTCAGTCAGTACAAGGATGCGAACAACCAGCCAATCCCCCCAGAGCTTGCGACTCAACTCGTTCAGGCAATCGATACAGGCGGCGCCACGGTAGGCGAGTTGAGACGCAAAATTGCGGCTTTTATGTCCATCTCCGATCCGGACAGGGTGTTGCTGGTGGCTCGAGGGGGAACACGACCAGGTCAGTTGCAGGGAGACAGCTGGGTGGTTTCTGAAATCAAGCGACACTGGCTTTGTTGTTGGATTAGTTATCACATTGCGCGGACGAACGCATATGCTGTGATCAATGGCCTCGGAAGGCGCTACGTCTATCATCCCGAGTCGCATTACTTCTACGACGGCATGAGTGTTAGGCGCTGGCAACATCACCTAGATACCCGCCTGTTTCGGAATGTCCGCTCACGTGGAAAAACTGGTTTCAATGCTCACTGGTCGGAGATCATTTTGACACTCAACGATACGCGTGTCAGTAAGACTACACGCGTTTGTTGGGGAAAGACGTACGAGGTCGAACTTTCTGGTCAGGCTGCCAAAATCTTCTCGGCCGAGGAAGCTTGGCTTCTACCCGACGAAGCCTGCAGCGTTTGCCTTGACAGCAAGAATCTTAGCCTCATGGCATACAAGATCACATCTGAATGCAATCACAAGCCAACCATCTGCAACGCTTGTTTAAGCCAGTGGATTGCTTCGGAGCTGGAAACCAAGATGTGGGATCGGATTAAGTGTCCGGAGTGCCCTAAATCTCTTGAGTTCGCAGATGTCCAAAGAAACGCTTCAAAAAGCGTTTTCAGACGTTACGATGAGCTGGCTACTCGCGCAGCTCTCGGAAATATTCCCAACTTTCGATGGTGCAAATCGTCCAAGTGTAACTCCGGCCAGATAGACGATGTCAGATGCGTGCGCTTCAAGTGCAAGGCCTGTAAGAATTCACATTGCATCAAGCACGACGTACCCTGGCACTCGGGCGAAACATGCGAAGAGTATGACAAGCGTAACACCCAGAAGAAGAAAGACGAAAGGGCATCCGAGGCAGAGATCACCAAGTCTAGCAAAAAGTGTCCATTGTGCAACAAGGCTGTCCACAAGTTTTCCGGTTGCAATCACATTACCTGTAAGTTCTGAATCATCGCAGCCCCCTTCCTCGTCTTCCCGGATGATCGGTTACTAACTGTATCTCCTGGCAGGTATCTGTTCTCACGAATGGTGCTATATATGCCTCGCCCCGTTTCAGCGCAACGAGCATGGCTTTCTCTACTGTCGTCACAAACCCGAGTGTACGGAGCGGGACCCCTTTGTCGACCTGATAGACCCCCAGAATGCAAACGCCGACCCCCGTACGTTTTTCGAAGCCGCCAACCACGGTTTATTCCCGCCACAATTTTTCAGAAACCGCCTTCGAGTTGTCCGCGGCAGAGCTGCCCGACACCATCTTGAGGCCGGAGCCAATGAACCAGGCGTAGGGCAAATGGGACGTAACCCTAACCGCCTTCACCCCGACATGTTTCTCCCTCCTTGGATGCAGGAAGCAGACCGAGGGATGTTTGTGGGTGTTGCCGGTATCGCGGATCATGTTGCAAACGGTAACGGTAACGATCGCGACCCTATGCACGATCTGAGGGTGTTGGCGCAAGATATGAGGGCAGCACGGAGAGAGCGGGCTTAGGTACTCCTTCTCGACGAACCTGGACTCAACGAATACGACATCACTCTCCATAGCTTCAGTGCCATGATCCTCGCCTCTCCAGATATGTGGGCGGCGTTCGTTGCCCATGAATGGACGCGCAGGACTGGCCATCCTCATCCGCCCCCTCCTGGACCCGAAGGAGCTCGCGACAACGATTTCGAGGAACGGTTTTCTGAAATAATGTGGGACTTGTGGCTCGACATCGTTGTAGAGAGTGAATTGATGGAAGATGATGATGATGAACCGATGTTCTTTGGCCCACCTCGACCTCCGGCTTGGTTTCATTGGGAGCCTGGCCACGGCGAGCCGCCAGTTTTCCCTGCTGGTCTTCTACCTATTGGTAGTGAATTTCAGGTGGATGACCTCCTTTGGGACGGTGCGTCCCTGATTCTTCCTCAGGGCCCCGTCCCTGAGCCACGTGATGCCGATGATACAGCAGGTCCTTTCTGGGCTCCTGCCCCAGTGACCCTCCGTCAACATCATTTCCTCCCCAGAGAACAGCCGACACACAATGAGGACGAACTCTTCCTGCAAACGCTAGAAGATGACATAACTACACACCAAGTCATTGATCCTCTGGACAATCTCTTACTGGATCGCCCCCCGTGGGCTCCTGACTTCTCTCTACCTCTTCGAGCGTCGATCCGCGATGTGGTAGATTTGGTCGACTCCGAACCCTCTCTTCCTCCTCCAGGCTGGCAAACTGCGCTGACTCTCCTTCGTCCCTGGTTTCACGAAGCGCCGTGGAGATTAGAGCCCGCGACCAATATTCCCGGTCACATTGTCGGACGAGAAGAGCTTGTGTTGTGGATTGATGATGCTGTGGATGTTCTGATCAGGCGAAACCGGACACTTTTGCAGTTTATCAACTTTGATATCCGTCAGCAAATGGCTGTTGCACCAGACGCGCCTCGACCGTGAGACACGGGTTGAGAAGCGAAGCCAAGCAGCCTGGTATGTGAATTGAGGCGTCTATCAAGATACGGATGACGGCCGGAAGCAGTATAAACTGTATGACATGGCAACTTGGACCTGTTGTACCTGTAATTATCACAAGTGTTATAACATGAGCTCTTCTCGCTTAGGACAGTTAACCATAGTGTTGGACCTTTAGCCAGGGTTTTGGCCAAACGAGGACCTTAACCTTGTCCTTAACTATCTAAAGGATGGGAACTCGAACATTGGTACCGAAGTATACCGATGTCGCGGTGTTATAGACACTTGTTTTTCTCATTTTAAGCTGAAGAGACATAATGGATCGCAATCACTCTCACGCAACATATCCATCCGAAATCTAGTCAGCTCGTCTACCTGCACATACAAAAGATCTGTATTACCGGGTGGACGTACACTGAACGCTATAGTAGAAGCATAATCTCTAATGCACCATGGTGTTTAAGAGGTGGTTACGCAATAACTCCCCAACATGCCCTTGAAAGCCCAAAACACCCAAATAGGGTCAAATACCTATAATCCTAACCTGCTTTCATTCTTAAGTCCATGAGCAGACTCAATCATTCACATACGACCATACCCACTGGAAAACTCGGGATCCCGTCCGCTCTCCCATAGATAAGCCAGTGAGGGCCAGACTAGTAGTTGGGTCGGTGACGACCAGCGAATCCCTGGTGTTGTATGTTTTTCTTCCTTTTTTTGTGCTTTTTCGCCTTGGCTCCATCAGTTCTTTTTCATTGTCGTTTCATGGTCACAGATGTGTCCTGTCTGATCGTGTTCCTTTTTGTTTTCTTTCGTGGTGGATATATGGGGGCTGTTACGATGTTGAGGGAGTTGCGGATCTTGGCTTTGCATGTGCCTTGACGCAGGATTCTTGTGGTGATGGAGCTTATCCAAATGTTGATCAAACCCTAGGAAAATTGAAATTGTACCTGCTTGTGAAAGGACCTGGCTTTGTAAAACCTTTAAGAAAGTTGGTGCAATAGCGGGTGTGCTACTAAAAAAAAAAGACACTGGAGGATGATCACGCTTACGGATGACCTCTTTCGCGGCATGAACAACTGATTTGAAAACTCTATTTCTGGCACCTAGTCATTGATCTGGTAAACCACGGCGAGGTAGTTCAAAAGGCTGGAGATAGGCTGATAGGAGGAGACTGTGGGTGTCGGACAGCGCGTTGTCACGGGGTCTGCAGTACTGGTCCAGAATCCCGATAACCGGGCATTGTGGACATGGAGACTAGGAAAATAAAAGGGATGCTGCGAGTAAGTAGTTAGCGGAACTGTATCAGACTTAGGAACCTGGTTCTTTGTTTTTACTCAGACACTTGCATACCGAATCATAAGTATCGGGAGAAGATTAACTTGTCCAGATCCAGCAGGCCACAAGCCAAAGTCAAGTCAGTCACTTTGCCTCCTTTGGTTCGCTCAGTCTAGGACACAATGCAACAACAACACTTGTCCCTTCGGAAATACCTTCCCACATTGCATTTCCTGCGGCGCATGTCGATGATGAGGCTTGGGTGCACATGCAGGACGTTGAATAGCGGAAATTTGAGAGAACAACGAAGATAAGCGGAGAAAGCTGCAGAGCACCCTAACTGTAATGTGCCTCAATACTTCGCGAGCTGGCCCTCAAGCCCTCTTGCGGCTCCTCCTGCGTTACTCTCATCCCGGATCGTCCCCAACATTAGCGTACCTGACTAAGCCCGTACCGTAGAGACTCGGGGCAGAGGGTTTTAGGTCTAGGTTTCCTGGAAATCAAGCATAAGCTGTAAGTATACTGCCCTAATATGTGCATGATATGCCTACTAAAAATAAGTGAGGGAGATGTGTTGCCACCCTGGAGGAATGTAGACTCGATTCTTCTAATGTCTCGCCTTTTCCTCCTTTTTTTTTTTTTTTTTTTTCATAAAGGCGCCAGAGGGTGGAGATATCCAAAATCACCCTCTTGCATACAATTTCTGGTGGGCACAAATGTTGCAATATACTTAAAGACTATGCCGGATTTCCAGGGAACCTCAAACTTTGTGCCCCAAGCCTGTACGGTACACCACCCACTGCATCCGATCGGCCGTGTTGTGTCGGGTTCATGCCCCACTTTAATCACCGGAGCCACGGAGCCGAATACCGTAACTCGGGATACCGCAAAGACTCGGACCATTGATTTTCAACTTTCCTGGAAATTATGCATAATCTGTAAGCATACTGCAACATTCATACCCGCCAGGAATTATATGCAAGACGATGATTTTCAATGTCCGTACACTCCAGCGCCCTTGAAAAACCCCAATTTTTTTATTTAAATTTAAATTATTTTTTTTTTTTTTTTTTTAAAAAAAAGGTAGAAAGGGCGGGATACTAGAAGAATCAAACTTACAGTGCTCCGGGGCGGCGACATGACCCCGCTACTATTCTTTGCGGGCAAAATATGTACAGAATTGGGTATATGCATGTCTGATGATGCCTGATTTCCAGGATAGTTGAAAATCAATGGCCCGAGTCTTTGCGGTACTGACATCCGGAGGATGGGTTATGGGCAACATTCTTGTCCCATAGGCGTGGGCATAATTATCCTCTTTCTGGACGTCTGTGAATGTCTTTTTTTCTTTGTCTCTGTAGCGAAAGATTTCTCTGTGTAGATGAATCTTGGAGGGGGCTGAGGCAGAGTCACACATGCCCCTCTCATGGTCAAAGCATTTTGTCTCGAGATGCAGCATCAGTTTTAAAATATTCAATGCCCGTAGATGCCATTGTCTGCTGCAGCACAGTGATGCGTCCAGATTGCGCAACTGTCGGGTTTCGTAAGTGATACAATCCTGTAAATATCTAATCAGCGCACCTTGCATGGTGACGGTTATCAATATAAATACTGAACTTCCTCCTCTCGATAACCTTTTTTTTGTTCTTTTTGTTCTATGTTTCTCATCAATTTCTCTCACAAATCCAAACAGAGTTTACTATACACTGTCACTCAAATCTCGCTTTCAGAATCTCGCTCTCTAGCAGACCTGACACCCTCAAACAACAACAAGAACGACGAAAAAGATATCTCCCCAAGCTGATATCAACACATCTGAGTCTCATTACGGCCAAACGCACACTTCTATCATGACTTCATTATCCTTAGAGGTACTTTGCCATTCGGCCAGCTCATGCTCAGGCCAGCTTATGCTGACAATCATTTACCCCCCGCAGACCAACAACGATGGCATCCGACACATCCGCAAGGAAACCACTCTATGGCCTGAAGTGAAGCAATACCTGCTCTCTCGCGCCAAATCATCAAGAGACCCTAGCACCGTCATCCCGCGCCCCATGTGCGCCCTCTGTGATGAAGCAGAGCTCGACATCGCCGGAATCCCGGCCACCGACATCGACCTAGTCCGCTTCGAGGCCGCTCTCTTGCCCTGCGGACACATGTTCTGCATCCCTTGCCTCAATGAATACCAGGACAATTTGCCGGACGCCAGCCCCTACGATGCCGCCGTCTACAACCCCGTCTGCGGCCGCCGCCAGCTCGCGCGCGAGTACAAGTGCCCCGTGTGTCGTGCCGATATGCACCACAGGAAGTGCTGGTGCGAGGTGGGCGCTTGCGGCCTTCCTTCTTCTGACCTTCTCGATGGTGGCGTCGTCGAGTCCGGAGGACAGTGGGCCCCCAGGTTGCTGCACCCTGGAGAGGTAACACAGAATGAGATCGAGGCATTGGAGTGGGTTGATCATAACCCTGCCGTGATGGATAAGAACACTCGGCAGAAGCTTGTCAAGCTGGTGAACGCCGTGCCAACTACCCTTCCGGAGTGGAAGGCTGCTGTTGCCTCCATGGACGTCGATGAAGACGACGACGACGATAACGGGTCATCCGAAGACGAAGACGAAAATGACGACGAAACTGACGACGAAGACGAAGAAGATTGTAGCAGCAGCAGCGATGACGACGCCGAATATCCCCACGATATCGAGATGGTCGACCTTACCAACGAGGTCGAACTAGACTGCGGTATTACGCATCGGGATAAAATATTCAAGAAACTCAGCAATCGCCCCATTGGCATTCCCGATGACGCTAATTTGAACAACAAGACCTACCCCATCGCTTTGTGGAATCAGGTGGTTGACCCTGTGTGCTACAAATGCCGTTGCGATATACTGCGCAGATATGACCGTGCAGAGTTGCCTTTGTTTGAGATAATGCCTGTTTCGTTGAGGCCCAGGTTACAAAGGATTGAAGAGGAGGAGGAGGAGGAGGAGGAGACGTATCCACGTGCGAGGTAATCAATAGAAGGATGGAAAGGGTTAGTGCTGATGGAAGAAAGAAAGCACGGGCAAGAAGAAAATGCTTGGGATTATTCGTGGGTTGATGCGCTCTTTTACTGGTTCGCCATTTGGGCCCCTTTGAGAGTTGCTATCACGAAGATATGGCTGTATACTGTTGATGCTGGCTGATGGACTAGAAAAGACAGAATTGTTTGTGACGGAAAGTGTATGGATTGGCGCAGATAAACATGGGAAGGCACGAGCCGAACTAAACAAAGTACGAGAGCCATGATGATGCTCAAGTTGTTTTTCTGAAGGAACTTAGTTACCATAGAAAGTCCTACCAAAACTCTACACCATCATGCTATTTTGTTTTGTTCATCTCGTCCCGTGATGATGCAACTATTGAGTGTCCCTCCCCCCCTCTCTGCCCGTCATTGCAGTCAAGCAGTTTCCTTTTCCCAAAAGGGACATATTCCACTTACACGCAACACCCCCCACTTTCTCAGCCCCCACAAGAACTGAATAATCCCACCACCGCCCCCACCCCACCCCACCCTCACGATCCCACTGCATCCGAAAAAAAAA